TTTTCGGCTATTTGGGCCAAGGCCTTTCAAACGGCCCCTGGCACTCCAGGGCCCAAGTACCGCCCTGCGAAAATAGCATATTAGCTGTATATATACCAGTGACGCAAAAATTGGCATTTTTTGACATTGTGGCTAAAAATGCACAGTATATGGAGCGTCACTGGTCGGACCAGTGATATAGTACCAAAATTTTTGAATATTCTTCAATGTATTGATTTTATTCCCCTACAAATTACATAGCTCCCGGGGGAGTGGATTTGATTAGTAAAAGTATGTCGGAAAATGGCTTAAATTTATTTTTTCGGCCCGAATTTTGGGATCAGCGGTAGGGAGCTGCAAATTTTAAAACATTTGGCATTTGGGCTACCCTAGAATACATATTGTGAAAATCGTTTAACGCAACACTGCGGTTTCTTGACAGTTCCTATATTAAATAGCTCCGAAGCGCCAACTGGTGCTCGCAAGTATATGTACTGTTTCACTCTTCTGTTGACTAATTTGACATTGATTTTGACATTTTGTTTGTAGTACACTTGCTAACACCAGTTGGCGACAACGATGAGAAGGCACAGCGTTGGTACAACGTTGATAACAATGACATGAAGTTGCAGTTGTGTATGGTAGATTGACACGAAACAAAATCTTTAGTTTACAGCCGTAATTTGTGTCAAAATATTGCGAGTTTTGGCTAAGATTGTTCTGAAAGAGTCTCTTTTGAAAATAAAACGAATTACATACGTAATCCAAACTTTTCCGCTCCGCAGCAATTTAGTTTACCTCCCGCTTAATGTTTAAACAAAATTTCAATGGACCCTTTTTTCATAGCATTTTTGACCTTAAAATATAACTATTTCGACCATTTTCCATAAAAAAGTGTCATTTTCGAACAAAATTTCAAAAATTTCAAGAAATGTTGGTTTCGGACCAAATTTATGGGCAAGTAGGTGTTCGGTTTTTCATAGACTCCCATTATTTTTGCAAAAAAACATCAGTTTGCCTTGATCGAAACCCCGAAAAATGCCTTTTTCGGGTACTTCCCGTACAAAAGTGTACTTTTTCAAGGTTTTTCAAGTCCTCAGTCGGAGGCTTATGGTACGAAATGAGTAAATCAGAATGAGCTCAAAATCAATCCAAAGCTTTGTCTCGACATGCCAAAACTTTTGGCTTTTACAGATCTCAATTATCTTGTCAACTTTTTGAGATAATCGGCGAACAAAAAACGCGAACGCGAACGCGGACGCGGACGCGAACGACGCCATACGCACATCGCAATTTTGCACATTTTTCATAGTAAACAACATGTTTTTAGAGGCAGATAGGTCTTGATCGATAGGATTTGTTCCCATCTACATTGCCTAGTGTACAGATATGTGCTTTTTGAAGTTTGGCGTGACGTTTTAGTGGTCCGAAAGAGGAGATGTCATGAAATTTTGGCTAGTAAAACCAATACTTTTCCATACAAACAAAGTTTGCGGAAAAGTAAAACTCTTTCGAGCTTATAACCAATGGAAACTCCATCAACAAGATGAGGAATTTTAAACCTAGTTTATACTTCGGAAAAAGAGAAATTGTAGGTACCTGTCGACTCTTGAGTAATTATATTCTTCTCGTACAATGATATCGAGATGCCTTGAATGAGAGAAAAAGAATGATAACACCGTGCAACGCATGTTTCTGCACATGAGAAATTCCGATTGCTTGTTTTAGAGGACCAAAAACCAAGCACTTTTGCATCATTAGTTTGTTCGAAACCACGTCTAGATTTTTTTTATCGACACATATAAGACAAATTTCAGGTCCAAATGAGCAAATCACAAACATGAGCTTCGATTTGATAGGTAAAGGCAAATGATTTCTACCTTTTCTGCCTTTGAACATCTAGTATGATCCTTTACAAACATTTT